AGTCCCGGCCAGCTCCAACCTCTTCTGCGGCTCCAAGTCCAGATATTACAGTCCTAGGGCCCATAGAGACTCCTTCCATTGTTGCTACCTCACCCCCTGCAGATGACCTTGACCTTCCCATTGCCATCCGTAAAGGAAAACGGCATTGCACCACATCTACAGCCCACTGCATCTCCCAGTTTTTGTCCTATGATCGCCTATCTCTCCCCTACAGGTCCTATCTCACTTCCGTTGCTAATGTCCCTATTCCAAGAATAGTGCAAGAAGCCCTATTAGTCCCGGAGTGGAGAGGTGCAATGGTCAATCAGAGAATGGATGGGATGTTGGAGTATCTCGGCAGGCAACTTTTGCAACACCTTGGAAGGCAATTAGTAGTATTCTTCCTCAATGCCTTAACTTTGTTAGGTATGATGTGTGTGGTGGTCACTTGGTTTGCTTTTGGGAAGATCCTTGGATTGGAGAGGCTCCTTTGAAAGACCTTTTTCCATCCTTGTATACTGTCTCTCTTTACACAAATGAGTCGGTTTCAAAATTCTTTTCCCCTTTGGAAACTCCTGCGGCACCGATTTGGGATTTTGGGTTCCGTAGACGGTTAAGGGATGAGGAGAGTGAGAGTTTGTTTGGATCCCTCTAAACCAGGCAAAAGAATCTGGACTTCTTGGCTCTCCGGTCTTTGCTCTTGCGCTTCTTTTTTTAAATCCCTTTGTCGATTCCTTCCCATCAGATGTTTCCCGATAAGGAGGTCTGGTGCAGGCCTATTCCCCCCAAGGTTTCGATATTTTTGCTGGGAAGTGTTCTATGGGAAAGTAAACACCTTGGATAAATAGATAATCTACAAAAGAGAAGACCTTTTCTCTGCATCTCTCCTAACTGGTGTACTCTTTACAGATCGAATGGTGAGGACTGTTATCATGTACTAATCTCTTGTTCATTTACTACAGAATTGTGGGATTGGCTTTTCTTGATTTTTGGGTGCAGGTGGAATAGGCCAGCAGAAGTAAGCATACTTTTTGATCTGTCTACCTTTGCTTGGCGACATAGAAGAGGAAGAATGATGTGGAGGTGTGCAAGAGCAGCTCGCCAACACAAGGATTTTCCAAGAGAAGGAGAGAAGCCTGCAAGAACTAAAGGAGTGTGTTTTGTATAGAGCCATCTTGTGGCTGAAATCTCTGGATCATTTTCATCAATTTTCCTTAGATGATCTTTGGAGGAGTTGAGCAGAAGTGGCAAGCTCCTCCTCCCTTAAGAATAGGTTGTGTTTGAGTTGTCCCCAGTAACCAAGGCAATCCAGGTCCCTTTGGGATGGGAGGGGTTATAAGGAATGAAAGAGGAAATGTGGTTATATTATACTCGGGCCCCTTAGGAGTGGGGGGCTCTACTAGGGCAGAATTATTAACTGCCCTTCAAGGGGTGCAGGTGGCAGTACAGCTAGGAGTGGAACAGCTAATAATAGGAGATTCCAAGGTGGTTGTGGGGTGATATAGAACCAGAGTCGGTGGTGTGGTGTTTTAGGATTGAAATTAAGAAATTCAAGTGGATAACAAGAAGTCTGTGTATTAGAATATGTTGGGTGGGGAGATCAGCAAATGCTATGGATGATAGCTTAGCCAAGCAAGGGGCAAACAGGGAACAATTGTATTGGGCATCTCTGTAGTAAGCTTTTGTTTTTGATGTCTTGGAGAGGTCGCAGCTTGTGCTTCTCCACGGGACACTTGTACCTGTTCTATACACTTTGTAATAAATTTCTTCATTTATCAAAAAAAAAATGTTAAGGCTGTGATGGAATGGAAACGACCAACAAGGACCAGCAGGAATTATGGGTGTTATTAGAGATGCAACATGTGCTATCAAGGCTTTATATTCAGGCCCCATTAGACTTGGTAATTCTGTCAAAGAAGAAACAACGTTGTTGCTACAACTTCCATGAAACCTATTGTTCCGGAATTGTGGTCCCCACCAACACAACAAAGAGTGAAATTGAATTTTGATGGGAGTTCAAGAGGTAACCCGGGCCCTTCAGGTATAGGAGTTTTCAGAGATGAAAATGGCAGAATTGTGGCTTTGTTTTCAGGACCAATAGGAGTGGGGGACTCATTGAGAACGGAGGTGATGGCCTTGCTTCAAGGTGTAAGATATGCAAAACAGTTGGGGTTACACCAAATTGAGATTGTGGGAGACTCTAAATGTTGATCGAGTGGCTGCAATCTGGTAAGTTGGGAGCCTGGATTTATAGACAGCCCATAAGGGAAATCCATGATACAACAAGGGAGATCAATGCATGCTTCAAATGGACAAGGAGATCAGCTAATGGTTTAGCTGACACGTTGGCTAAACAAGGGACTGTGAGGGAGAGTATGTTCTGGGCAGTTTTGTAAGAAAGATAACTGGGGCTCAGCACCTACTTAGGGGTTGACAGCTGTACTTAAATCTGGAAAGTTATTTAATGAAGTTACCGTTTCCAATAAAAAAAAAAACGTCGTTGCTACAAGGGCTGGGGATGGCTAAGAAACTTGGAATCCAACTCTTGGAGGTGAAGAGAGATTCTTAGGTGGTCATCTCTTTGTTAAGCAGCAATATTCCTTGAGCTTGAGCGTATAGGTAGACACTAAGGGAAATTGAGTCATTAGCCAAGGAAGTGGGAACTATTTTTTATTGGATTAGGATGGCAAATAGAATGGCAGGTTACTTGGCTAAGCAAGGGGTTCATAGGGAGCGATTGTTTTGGGCTGAATCTTAATTGGATTGTATGGGAAATCATTTTGGGTTGCTGGGGTATCTTCTAGCCTGTTGTACTTTTTCTGTTTACCATAAAATAATGAAATTGATGTTGCTTATTGAAAAAAAGTTCATAAACTAAATAAGAAAAATAAAAATGAAAAAGAAGCAACTAAACACAGCCAATGATTCCATTTCTATTACAACTTTCATCAAGTTTTATAATGTAAGAATGCAGACTTTCCGATTAAAATTTGTTTATCATTTTTTCCTTAAATGTGCATGTTTTTTCTTTTCTTTTTCTGTAGGTAAAGCAGGCAGATGAGCTAGAAAACATACTAACTAAAAAGTTTCTTAGATTTTTGTCAATGAGGGCAGAAGCATTCCAGGTATTGAGGAGAAAGCCAGTACAGGTGCATACTTCTTTCATAATCTATTGCTATATTGAAACTTGTTGACTTGTTAGCTGTAGTGTTTAAGTGCCAGATTGTTGTTCACCTTCCTGTTTAAAATTATTTTCTGAAAACGGTTACAGAATTGGCATGCTAAACTATGTTATAATTCAATATCTGGTTCCTGGTATTCATGGCTAGAGAGTCTAAATTTAAGATCTATGCTAGTCTTCTATTTCCTTGCGTGATTATTTAAGTTTCCAAGTCTTCTGTTTCAACCATGTTGCACTCATACTAGCAAAGAGTCTTTTATTTTTGATGAATTTGTTAGCCAGTTTTCTTTGTTCTAAATTCTAGTTACTTGAACATGTAATTGGTTTCCATTGGTCGTATTGGACTATATGTCAATAGTCACCTTTTTGTTAAGAACTTGCTAAACTTGATAGGCTGATATAGATGTGTGTAACCTTGGGCCTTTCTTCCTTTGGTGATACAAAGGTATATGTTAGTCAAATGGATTTTTTCCTTACGAGAACAGAACAAATGATGTATTGCAAAGTTATTCTAGGAGAAAGTTTAACAACACAACATAGACTAGTGGTCGTAGATGTGTGCATTAGGAAATGGAAGAAAAATACGGAAGAACATGTGTCCAAAAATTAGGTGGGAAAACTTGAAAGGGAAAAAGCTTGCTCAAATTAGAAACAGATTGATAATAGAAGGGAAGTGGCAAGGTACTAAATAAACTTGGTGGTAGAATGAAGAGGTTCAAAATATTATTAGATTAAAACAAGCATGCTACAAAGAATGGCAAAAAGCTAGACATCTAGAAAACTAGGAAAAATACGAAACCATAAGAAAGGAAGTTAAAAAGAAATTGAATGAAGTTAAATGTAAGGCTTATCATGAGCTTTACCATAAATTAGACACTAAAGGGGGAGAAAAACGAATGTATAAACTAGCAAAGTTGAGAAAGGAAAGGCAGAGATTTGTTAGGTGCATTAAAGATGAAGATCAAAGATTCTTGGTAAGGATTAGGAAATCAAACAAAGATAGAAAAACTATTTTGAAAGATTATTAAATACACAACACTGAGAGGGTGCTAATTAAGGAGAATTTATCAATACTAACAGTGTTAAAAATAATGCATACCTTCATAGAATTAGGCCTACTGAAGTAAAAGAGGCACTAAATAAGATGAAGAAGGGAAAGGCATTAGGGCCTAATGGGATTCCAATAGAAGTATGGAAAGGTATGGGGGAGGTAGGCTTGTTATGGCTAACACAGCTATGCAATAAGATAGTGAAAGAAAAGAAGATGCCCGATGATTGCAGAAACAATGGTATGGTGCTTATATTTAAGAACAAAGGTGATGTACAAAGTTGTAATAGCTATCGGGGGATTAAACTTATGAACCACACTATTAAGCTTTGGGAGAGAATAATTGAACAAAGATTATGTCTTAAAACAAGTGTATCACACTATTAGACTTGATGTGACCATTTGTAGTACCTTGGTTCAATAATTCATAATAAGGGAGAGATTGAGGATGATGTCACCTAAAGAATTAGTGTAGGATGGACAAAATGGAGAGGTTGATCTAGACTTTTATGTGATAGATTAATACCACTTAGATTAAAAGGAAAATTCTATAAAATAGTTGTAAGGCCAACCATGTTGTATGGGGTGAGTGTTGTTGGGCAGCCAAGAAACATGTCCAGAAAATGAATGTGGCAATAAGATGGATGAGTGGAAAAACTATGAAGTATAGGATTAGGAATGAAGTTATCCATATGAACCTAGGAGTGGCTCCAATAGGTGATGAAATGAGGAGTAGACTAAGATGGTTTCAGCATGTGCATAGAAGACCACTAACTGGACTAGTTAGAAGAAGTGATTTGTTACACTTCGAAGAGGCTAGAAAAGCTCGGGGTAGACCAAAAAGGACATGGGTAGTAGTAAGAAATGATTTAAGCACTAAATATTTAACAGTGGATATGGCTTTAAATAGAACAGATTGGCGAAATARGATCCATGTAGCCAACCCCGTATAGTTGAGATAAGGCATGGATGATGATGATGTATATGTATAGGGGTGGATCAAATATGTATCCACCCTTATCCGATAAAATATAATCCAATTTGATTCGACCTAAATATGCTCACATATACTTAAAATTTATAATGTATGTATCTATTAGTAAAGTTGGTTTGAATGTTGTGTTTTTACCAAATTGTCATAGGTTCATACAAGTAATTTTCAATTCAGTTTGTTTATGAATCACAATATCAAAGTCATTTTTGGTTCAATTTATTAATATATAATATTTTGATCAGTTTTTAGTTTAGTTTATTTATACTATTCAATATCCAATTACAATTCAATATAAATCTGATCAATAATTTCCAATTCAAATTCAAATATAAATGAAGCAAATTTGGATCTACCTATTTCTGATTCAATTTGATACGTTTGCAACCCTAATCCTATGTGGTGAATATCATGCCATGTTACCTCACTTGGAACTAAAGTTCTGACTGCACTTTGTTATGGAGCTGCAGCCATGTTTATAAGACTACTGGTCTGTAAGGATTATGCAATGATGTTTGAGTGTTGATTTTGCTTGTTTCACTACTCTTTAAGTTCTACTTGCCTCTTGGACTTGGTCTTTATGTGTTTTGCCTCACTATGTTATCCTTTTATAATCTTGGTCTTGTAAGCTAAATTGTTATATTAAGGGGCCTTTTGATAACAACTGAAGCTGTTGACCTGAATGACTTATTGTTTTGTCTTTTAGTGGATACAATGATTAAATAATAAAATATTCAAGTCCATAATTATCTATAAGACTTTCAGCTTCAGCAATTAAGGATCCTACAACCTCCTTAAAAACTTAAGCACTAAAAGAAAAAGCAATAAGCTTTTCAGTTCAGTCACTTCAGCTGTTATCAAACGGTCCCTAATTTGGTCATCTCATATGTCCTTTGTTAATTAGATGAGACAACTTATGGAGGGTGAACTAGTACATCCAGATCATTATCTGAACCTATATAGTTGTGACAAGGCTTAGATGATGTGATGAGGAGGAGCAGATTGACCAGAGTGTAAGAATGAGTTGGTTCTCTCTGTTTTATCCTCATATTCTAATCTTTTTTTTTCTTATAACTCCTCTCTCTTTGTTATCTTTTCATTAGTCTTGCAACTGAACATCTGATTGTTTTTTCATTGATCAGCATCTGACTGTTGTTTTTAATTGATATACATGTTTTTTTTTTTCTTGCTAAGAAAAAGTATCCTTCGCTTCCATTAGTGACGACTTTGTCCGATGGATTCCAAAGTCTAGTAATTTAATGGACTGGTTGAAAACAATGGATGAGTTCACAGATTTTTCAATGGATGATATGTTAAGAAAATGGAAAGAAATTGCAAGTTCAGTCTCAATTAAGAAGACCTCGAATCCCACATGGAACCCTCTACTTCCTGGTTTTATCAAACTAAATTTTGATGGCAGTAGCATGGGAATCCAGGGCCCTCGGGTATTGGGAGGGGGTGTTAAGAGATGAGAAGGGTAATGTAATAGCTATGTTCTCTGGCCCAATTGGAGTGAGAGACTCTTTGAGGGCTGAGGTGTTAGCAGCTTTGGAAGGGGTACAAAGGGCTAAAGACCTAAATATCAAGAAACTGATTATAGAGGGAGATTCTGTGGTTGTAGTGAACTGGCTAAAAGAAGACACTTCTAAGCTTTGGAGCTACAGCAATGAAAAGAGAAAATTCAAATGGCTGATCAAGAAGATGGAAGTTCAGTGTATTTGGGTAAAGAGAAATGCAAACTCCTTGGCTGATGGATTAGCTAGGCAAGGGGTGAATAGGGTTTCTGGGTTCTGGACTCAGTTGTAATTGTTTTTTGTATCAGTTTGGGTGCATACCCAACTTCTGGGGAGTTAAGATACCTTAGCTCCTTTTCTTTGTAAGTTTATTCCTATTTAATGAAATCTGTTGTTATTGATCAAAAAAGTCTAGTAATTTAATGGCACACGGTCTCAACAGGAGTGGGTTTTTGATAAGGACCAAAATTCTCAGTTGAATCTAGGCCCATGTTTATAGAGATCTAATAGCTGTGGAGAGTCTAAGAATGATGTACCATTGTCCCTTTTGTACATTACTTATGTAATTTATAGCCTTTGTATTTGTTCCTTTCTCTTTTAGCCCTTTATGGGCATTTTTGTAATTGTACATATTTTATTAATCTAATAGAGGCTCTTTGGGGTGGGAGTTGACTGTTACATTGACACCCTGAAACCATTTGTCTTCCTCTTGTTCGAACTCTCTAGTTGATATGGTATCAGAGAAAGGTTTCATTCTTGATTATTAAGACTATGATTTGGGTGTCCAAATCGACCTGTTGGAGCTACTAAAGGTTTCTTTTCGTGACTGTTTTGATAAGTACAAGGTGAACTACTTTTCTGGGAAAACGCCCTTCAAATCAGTGTTCTTGCTCTCTCTCTTAATTGGCTTATCTGTTTGGGCTGAGATTTTGCATTTTTGGGTCGCCCTAACCTCTTTATTACACTTGTAAAATTTTGTGAAGATTGGATTTTTCCTGAGGGAGTTTTTGTCTGAACAAGAGGGGTCACTTTTTCTAAGCAACATACCAGGTGAGTTTTTTTTTTTTTTGTGTGTGTGTGTGTGTGTTTGTGTGTGTTTTCTTCCATTTGGCTGTTGTGTTCAGCCTTGTACTCTAAAGTTTGTGTCGCCTTGACCTACATTAGATGTTCCTTGATTGGTTTGAAGATTTACTTCGTTCTAGAAGTGTTTTGATCCCTTGTTCAGTTTCGTAGGCTTGCAACCTTCCATTTTGGAGTGTCAATCCTAAAACCTAGTTGTTTGGATTATTATTTTTGAGAATCACATTTATTTGGCTATTAGACACTTGTTTTGGTGTTTAGAAGACTTTCCAATCAGTTTTATCCGAAGAATTGCATCTCACTGCTCCTACTCAGACTCATTCCTGTTATCATTC